AGGGGAAGCTCTTCTTAAAACGCCTCAAAGTTCAAAACGGCATGGCTAAATTTACAAGGATGAACTGGAGTTTAAAAAAAACAACAACACAACAGGCTATAAATACAGGGCAGTGCCAAACGTCAGCTGTTACACTACAGCAGGCATCTCCGGGGATGGAGAGAATCCCTTAACATCCGGAATGAAAACAAAGGACCCCAAATATATAAACTATCAGAGAATCACAGAATGGCCTGGGTTGAAAAGGACCACAATGATCATCTAGTTTCAACCCCCTGCTATGTGCAGGGTCGCCAACCACCAGACCAGGCTGCCCAGAGCCACATCCAGCCTGGCCTTGAATGCCTCCAGGGATGGGGCATCCACAGCCTCCTTGGGCAACCTGTTCCAGTGTGTCACCACCCTCTGTGTGAAAAACTTCCTCCCAATATCCAACCTAAACCTCCCCTGTCTCAGTTTAAAAGCATTCCCCCTTGTCCTATCACAATCCACCCTCGTAAACAGCCATTCTCCCTCCTGTTTACATGCTCCCTTCAAGTACTGGAAGGCCGCAATGAGGTCTCCCCAGAGCCTTCTCTTCTATCACACCATCACATGAGGACAGATCCCATATACTTCGCTGCTTCTGAATCAATGTTGCAGGCCCTAAGACACAGCTCCACTGAACTGAACAGATAATTTAATTCTCTCAGAAACTAATTTTTGGCTTTCTACAGACTCCAGAGGAAAAAAAAAAAAAAATCACTGTCATTTGTATACCTTGTTTGCATCACCGATTTTCTTGTGTCTGCTTGGCCACTGAATGCTTTGTTTTCCTTCCAGAAGAAAGAAATTCATGTTTCTGACTTGTCCACTCAACAACAGCCACTTGATGATGATCAGTTACACAAAAAACTGTTAGCAATAAAACATTGTTAGTGCTAACAGAGAGAGTAATCCTATTACGTCCCTGTCAGGCCCTCATCCTGCTGACAGATGACCAGAGCTGGTATGCAGCATCCACACAAGTAGTCCTGGCTCAGTGCAAAGCCATCAGCAGTACCTACACATGTGCAGAGCAACCAGATTGCTTCTCAGTTCTCAAAAGAGGGGAAAAAAAGAGAGAATAGGAATTTAAAGCCAAAAATAATCACTTACCAAAACAAACCCTTGAAGTGTCAATTTTAAAATCAACATAACAAACTGAACAGGTTTATATGTAAATTTTCAGCAATGCACTCTGTAACTGGAGAGTGTAATAAATTGAGGAGATGCGCTACACCGCAGTCATGAGAAAGATTTAAGTTCCTGCCTCTAGTGCAAGAAAGTCAGCTCTGCTGTAACTGTCTGCAGCCACTCTGGGACCACCTCAACAAAACCCTTCTGACTGAAACCCTCCCATGTGGCAGACAGGAGGTCTGGGGAGAAACTAAGCCCCCTTGGTGAATGCCACTGCTCCCACCTGTGCTGCTGCCACTGTGCACTACACAGGCAGCACTGACTCTCAGCAGATCTGAGCTCTGCCAGTGGCAAAAGGCAAGGTTTTTTCCTGTTATGTCTCAGTGTGAGGCTTACCTTGCACATCCCTTTCCCCTCTCCCACAGATCCCTGAGAAAAATCTCCCCCTGACCCTGAGAGAACTGGCAAATGGAGATGGAGAGTCTCCTCCTGTCCCTGAGGTCATCACTTCTGATCCAGCCCTAATTTGGTGATTACTCAGCCGCTGTAGCTCTCCAGGAGCATATATTAGCAGTTCATGGGGGGAAAGGAAGGAGTGCACAGTTCCTGACCTCCACCGCTCGTCATCTTCACACCCGCCTGAGCTCCCTCTGCCCAAAAGCGAGGAGGAATGCAGCAGGGCTGCAAGAAACGCAGCCTGCGGGCTCGAGAATGAGTCTGTCAATAACAAATGCTGCAAAGACTCCACTGTTTGTTAGTGGAAAGACGATGTCTGCATGCAGCTGTTGGGGGGTCCTCTGAGAGATTTCTTCTTTTTATAAAAGGTTTCATTGCTGATGAAAAGCACTGAACTAGCAGCACCAGGAGGCTGAGGTCTCCACAGAGCCAGGCACACAGATTTTTCACAAGCACAGAAACCATCCCCTCGAAGTATTACCCTTATTCTAATCCTTCCCCCTACTACACAATTTCATGCCACGCACAGGCTCGCCACTGCACTTCTGCAGCTTTCATCTGGAGGCACTTAGATGCTACAGGAACAGGCATTAGAGACTAGCTTGAAGATAGATAATACAAAAGATGACAGTGAGATCGGGCACCTACAGGTCACATAACCAGGGACTGAAGCTGATGCTCACGGTGGGACAGCTAAATCTTTAAGCAAGTGTAAAGCAAGGGCAGCGAGACTGTTTCTCTTCCTCCAAGAAAGACATCAGCATGGCTGCATTCATTAACATCTCCTAACTCTCTTCCCATCCAGCCCCAGGATTTCCCATACCTTCCTCCTATTTCTTTTACGCTTACTTCAGATAAGAAGTGCCACATCTGACCCTGTGCAAGGGAGCAGCAGTATCAGACATCTCCCAAGGAACTGCAGCACAGACAGGGAGGGCTCTCCTCTCATTAATTCACCGATATTGAACTTCCCCCTCAAACAGCCACGGAATCTGTGCGCTTGCTGCAAAGTGTTTTGGAAGAGCACAGATAATCAGCTACTGACTGTCACGTCTTGGCTGTATCACTTGCAAGTGGATCTCCTCCAGACACAAGCAGCATCTTCGTAAGCCTTATTGTTAAGTCCTAGAGCCCTATTCCCCCAACAGAGCACCAACTGGATTGAAAGACTTTAGAGTTTCTCAAAGGAAGAAAAATGATAAAGCAGCTGAAGGCAGGTAGCGTGAATCATAGCAGGAAAAAAAATAAATAAATCACCTATACAGGAGACAATTCTGCTCTATCTTTTAATACTGCAACACTTCTGTCCTCTCATCCTCCCATTACAAGGAGCTGATTCATGAAAATAGCATCTTTGTACCTTAAGACCTGCTCGGCTTCTTCCGCTTCTTCCTTTTACCTCCTGCCAAAAAGCTGCTCCTGGCAGAATCAGAATTAGTTGCTGTGAAAATGATTGTGGTGTTGCAGACAAAGGGATCTGAGTCCAGTGAAAAGGCTGGGAACAACAGAAGCTGAACTTTTGAGGAAAAAAGGATCACATTTCCATGCAGATGTCCAAAGCAATAAAGGTGGAAATTAAAATAGAAAGCCACACAAATATGATTCTCTGGCAAGACTGTCTCCAACAAGGCAGAAAAGGCCATCAATAAATCTTCATTATCTGAATTGCTAAACATATCTAAATAAAAGAAGAAATCCAAATATTAGAAGAACGCATCTTTTAAAACGTCCTTACATAAAACCAACTCTGCCTTGCCAGAGCATGTTTTACAGAGTGGGATTTTTTTTCTTTTTAATTCTGCTGGCCTTTTACAGAGGTTTCATCTGTTGGTTTTCTTTCTGCCTACAGGGAAGTGGGAATTTCCAGGCTTGACAAGCTTAAATCCCCGTGACATACAGTCCCAAATTTTAGAGGCAGCTAAGATTTTGATTCTGACTTCACTCCCCGTTGGTTTCCTCCCCAATGCACACAAGAGCTGTTTTCAATCTCAGCTGTTCCAACCAGGAAAAAAAAAAAATCCCTGAAGGAACAGCATTTGTTCTCCCTCCACCTTGCTGCTACCACCGTACAGAGGCCAGGCACACAGCCCAGTGCCAGAGCAAGGCTTGCAGCAAGACGAGGCAAAAGCAGAGCACAGCAGACAAGAACAGAAGCTAGATCTTCTACTCTCATCTGCTAAGAAGGCTGTATTTATTTTGTGTAGTAGTAGACTTAGGGTCCACTTAAGATATATATGCATTACATGAAATCTCATTAACTTCTTGGCAGAGAAACCAAATTAATTTTTTTCTGTCACATGCAGTGACGCTTTCTGCTCCTGATTCATCAGAGACATTGGTTTATTAAAAATATTTTAGAGGTTTCACCACTGTTTACTTATATATCTCATATTGCTAACAAAACATGAGGAAAAAACACTTCAAACACAACCGCTTTAATTACTTTGTATCTTGAGACTCATAAAAGTACATACAATGCTCAAAAGCCCTAATTCTAAATTTCAGAAGACATTAATTTCTTATTTTAGTGCCCTGTGTTCCTTTAAAGTCACGCTCAGTTCCAAGGAGGGGTAGGGAACATGAGAACATACAGAACTTAGAGCTTTAAAACACAGCATCTTCAGCATTTAGGAGCACTACCTACACATCTGCGGGGGGGGAGGGGAAGGGGAAAAGAGGCATGTATTCCCTCAAGTCACATACCCCAAGCAATGACAGTGCTATCAGGTAATAAACCAACTTGAGTTAAGAATATTAGCATTTAATCCAGTGAAGTTTGCGCAGACCTTTATGTCCAAGTGATGGGAACATCTAGTAGAACTTGATGTCATTTCTATTGCAGGATTCAAGGAACCCTTTCAGCTGCCAACCATCAGTGACTTCAGGTTTACACTAACAAAACCTTTGCTCATGTACTGGGGCTGTCACCACTCTTCTTGAAGAGATGCTCTCCTGCAGCTTGGAACTTTACCGGCACTCACAGTTGTGTGACTAGACCAGTGACCAGAATCGGAGGCCACCTATTTATCTTTTCTGTAAGTGTGCTCGGGGTAACTAGACTTAATGTACTGCTTGTTCCATCAGGGCTCCCAAAAGAAGGCAGGCTCCTCTTCTCAGAGCATCACCAGCAAGCACAATAAGAAAAGACTCAATAACCAATACGCATGTCTACTTAACTCAATCAGCTAATTTTAGAAATAGCCCATAGCCACAAATAACATAAAAGGAAATCCCAACACAAATTCTTTCACAAGAAGCAGAAGCACTCTGGGGGACTGCAGTCTACAGAGAGGGGCCGGTAATCGTGTCTGAACCCAAGTCTAAGGAGAGATGCTGTTTAAGCTGGCAGAGAGGAAGTGTTAGGCTGGGGTGAAATTCCACCTCACCGTGGAAGCAGCCTGCGGCTCGGGAGTCCCCCACTGCGGCCACACAGGGGAAGGCGGGGGTGAGCCTTGGGATGACTTCTCTTCTCTGAAACCAGCAGTGCTTCCCACTCCTGCAGTGTGATTCATCCTTCAGGCTGCAGACCGAGGTGCCAGCTTTCTCCTTGCACTGATGAGAAAGGGTAGTCACCCTGTTTGTAATCAGCCAGCATTATCTCATCTCCAGAAACAGTAAGTCAGCAACTAGCCTTAGGTGGTAAGTAGGGGGTTTCCTTAGCAGTTCCCTTCACCGAGACTGAAGAAAAGTCAGAAAACGAAAAAAAAAAAAAAAAAAAAAGTGGTTACAAGAAAGGGAATATTTTAACAGAAAGGGGGAACAAATTAATGCTTTCAGCTTGTTCCCCTTCACCACTGCCTGGAAAGGCAGCTCTGATACAAGCATCTCCTGCCTAGGGCTTTCTGAGAGCCCCTTATACATCCACACTGATTGCTTCTCCCCACTCAGGGAGACAGACTGTCCTCTACCCTAAATGCTTTTATCCTCTTGATGAGGTCTCTTACCCAGCTGGATCCTGCCTCACTTCTCCCACCGCAATCTCTGAGCCTGAGAGAAGGCACCTGGGGACCTTTCACTTTGCTTTGGAAAGAGATTTAATCCCTTCACATCCTGGCATGGGGTTGAAGCCATGTACTGCTCCCTCTCCCTAAGCGTCTCTGGATACAGTCCTGTGCGACGGATGTCCCCAGATGAACACAATTCAAAGCAAAAGGTTTTCTCTGCTGTTTTCTTGCTCTTTCAGGAGTCATATAAAAGCAGGTGTAGATAAAGAGCTGAGGAGAACCCTGCAGGGAACAATCCCACTGTACCCAGACAAGATGATGAGGCTTAAAATCTCTTCCGTGTCTAATCGTAGCTAAATCATGCCCAGAATGTCCCTGCCCTCCATTTCGTGGGGTCCGTGCCTCTTGTTGCTCCTGCAGAGACACGAGGCTGCTCCCCAGAGACACGAGGAGGACGGCAGGCATTTCAGCTTATCCTGAGGGGTGATGGGGGCACTCCTGCCCTCTGAGAGCGCTCACCTCCCCTCTAAGAAGGGGGAGACCACAAATCCCTTAAACGACACCATTACCGTGGTGCTGAGATGCCGGGAACACAAGTCCCTGTGGATGGGGCAGGGGTCCGGTCCTAATGGGCAGCGGCGCTTTGGGCTTGAGATATTTTGCCACCCAAGACTCGGATTCTTTTCCTTCGAAGGTCCCCGCGGGCGTCAGGGCAGGGTGAGGCCAGAGGGCTGCCAAGCTGCAAATGGGGCCTTCCATGAGCCCGCCGGCCTGCTCCGACTGCAAAAGTGCCGCGCGATTAATTATACATCTGCGCTACAAAAGCTCAGCCCTGTAACTGCAGGGGGTGCTATTCATCAGCCTTGAGACGTGCTGGCAGAGGACAGCCAGGGTCCAGCAGTTGACAGGGAGAAATAAATAAATACAAAAGCGGGACGCGCTGTGGGTCGCGGGGGTGGGCGCGCGGCGGCAGCGGGACCCCGGTGACCCGGTGGCGGAGAAGCCCAGCGCGGCGGCCGGGCCGTGGGGCACGGCGGGGCCCGGCCGAGCGGGGCGGCCATCGGCCACCGGGGCGAGGTGTGGGGCAGGGCCGGGGCACCGGGCTGACACCTGCGCGCTCTGCCCGTTTCCCGGCCTTTCCCTTTCCACGATGCAGCCCCGTGACGCGCTGGCAACGGCCCGAAGCGGCTTAACCGCAGGAGCAAATTTAGAAGGACCCCCGCTCCCTGATCCCTCTCTTTTGAAGCCCCTGTTTCCCGGAGCGGGCTCTTAGCGAGTACAAACGCAACACGGTGCCGAGCATCCTTCCCCTGTCACTCTCGGCTCCCCTTCCTCCTCCAGACACACGCGCTAACACAAAATGACGGCTTCCTCGGCAGGCTGAATGAGCAAAGCCCTCGCGCCGATCTCTAATTGTCTGCGTTTTACTCTCTCGCTCCACTCGTATTATATCACAAAACTCAAAGCAGCCCACCCACTGCCCCCGTCTTTGTCCGAAATCTCAAATGAACGGTAAATTGGGCGCAGGAAAAAAAAAAAAATTGCAGAAGAAGAAGGGAGGGGCAAGCTACCCCCCCCCCTTCCTCCACCCCCTTTTTTTTTTATTCTTTTTTT